GGGGATCCAGATATCTTTCAAGATAGTAACTTTGTTTCCTTTGGATATAAACCCAGATGCGGAGTTGCTGGATTATATGGTATTTTTATTTTTAATTTTTGGAGGAAACTTCATACTGTTTTCCACAGTTGCTGCACCAATTTACAATCTCCCTGCCCACCTCCCCCCCCCCCCCCCGCATCAGGGCTCCCTTTCCTCCACATCCTTGCCAGCATTTACCTCTTGTCTTTTTGATGCTCACTGTTCTAACAGGCATGAGGCGATATCTCATTGTGGTTTTGACTTGTATTTCCCTGATGATTAACTATGAGTGCCTTTTCACCTACCTGTCTGTATTTGTATATCTTCTTTGGAAAAAAGCCTGTGTAGGTCCTTTGCCCATTTTATTTTATTTATTTTTTAATATTATTTATTTATTTGACACAGAGAGAGAGAGAGAGAGATCACACGTAGGCAGACAGGCAGGCAGAGGGAGAGGGAGAAGCAGGCTCCCTGCTGCGCAGAGAGCCAGATGTGGGGCTCGATACCAGGACCCTGGGATCATGACCTGAGCCGAAGGCAGATGCTTATCCCACTGAGCCACCCAGGTGCCCCCTTTGCCCATTTTAATTGGATTATTTGATTTTTTGTTATAGAGTTGTATAAGTTTTTTTAAAAATGTATGTGCTACGGTGAGCGCTGTGAATTGTGTAAGACTGTTGAATCACAGATCTGTACTTCTGAAACAAATAACGCAACATATTTTAAGAAAAAAGAAAAAGAAGAAGATAGCAGGAGAGGAAGAATGAAGGGGAGTAAGTCAGAGGGGGAGACGAACTAGGAGAGATGATGGACTCTGAAAAACAAACTGAGGGTTCTAGAGGGGAGGAGGGTGGGGGAATGGGTTAGCCTGGTGATGGGTATTAAAGAGGGCACATTCTGCATGGAGCACTGGGTGTTATGAACAAACAATGAATCATGGAACAGTACACCAAAACAAATTATGTAATATATGGTGATTAACATAACAATAAAAAATTAAAATATATATATATATTTTGGATATTAACCCTTTCCAGATATTTGATTTGTAAATAGTTCATCTCTTTCTGTAGATTGCCTTTTCATTTGTTGATCATTCTTTTTGCTGTGCGGAAGCTTTTTAATTTGAGGTAGGCCCTCTTTATTTTTGATTTTGTTCCTTGTGCTCTAGGTGCCATATCCCAAAACTTATCTCCGAGATCCATTCCCCAAGGACCTTTTTTCATACTGTCTTTTAGGAGTTTTATGGTTTCAGGTGTTCATGTCTTTAATCCATTTTAATTTTTGTGACTGGTGTGAGATAGGGATCAAGTTTCATTCTTTTCCGTATGATTACTCAATTTCTGCAGCACCATCTATTGAAGATACTGTCTTTTCTCCTGAAAAGTAGTGAGTATTCTTGGCTCCCTTGTCAAATATCAGTTGACCATATGTGCATGGGTTTATTTCTGGGCTCTCAGTCTGTGCCACTGGTCTGTGTGTCTGTTTTTAAGCCAGTACCATACTGTTTTGACTGTAGCTTTATAATATAGCTTGAAATCAGGTAGTGTGATGCCTCCTGCTTTGTTCTTTCTCAGGATTGCTTTGGCTATTTTTTTTTTGTGGTTTTATATATATATATATATATATATACAGTTTTGTTTTGTTGTTACTGTCCAAGTGTTCTGTGTGGCTTTTACCTCATTTTCTGTCCTCACTTTCTCTGTCCCAGCTAGTTGCCACTCTTTTTGTCCTATGCTCTTCACTGCAGATATTCATGACCCAGAGCAAAGTGGTGATGAGGGCCATGAGGGTTATCAACCTTGCAAGTCACCAAAGGGATGCTCTAGACAGCATGGCACAGGCTGCCTTTGACTTTGTAATCACTTTATCTTCCTAATGGATAGATGAGAACATGACAGTTTAGCTCAGATATTAGTTCACAGCTAAATTTAGAGTGTTTCTCTCTCTCTCTACGATTAAGGAATCAGCTTACTCTCATCCTTACATTCTTCCTTCCTCCATCCAGAGACATAAAAATAGCTGTACAGTAGGGACATTTTAGAGCTAACACATAGGTAGTTTGGCTAAGATACTCTTTCCAGGAGCGAACAGGAACCTTTTAAACTTTTCCACGTTTATGCTCTAGAGTGGTGGTAGACAGAGCTCCCTGATTTTCATATTGACCTGCTGTAAATAGATACTCTTCCTCTTCAAATTAGCCTTGGCCATTACACAAAAGCAATTTCAAAAAATCTGCAGTCTCTTCTTTGTGTTAGCATTAGAACCTCCCTGAGTTTTAGGAGGGTGTGTGGCTGCCCAAGTTGCAACTTATTTCCTAGCCTTCCATGTGGCCAGGTGTGGCCATATGACTCAGTTTCCCCCAGTGAAATGTGAGCAAAGTGATGTTTGCAACTTATATTATTTTTTTAAAAGGAAATCACTTACCCTCCATTTTCCCTTTGGCTACCTTCCAGCCCCAGATGGGATTGGCTAACCAGGTTGACTCATGCAGGCAAGGTCAATATAGTAGGAAATGGCAGAGCAATAAGCTAGAAGGAAGCAGACCCCTCAGTAGCCTGGTGGAGCAGAGCCACCCGCACACCAGAGAACCTCTGGGCTGATACAAGAGAGAGCAATACATATTTCTTTCTTGTGTGAGTTTTCTTGTGTATTTTTGAGTTTCTTTGTTACACCAGCCTAGTCAATGCCCTAACCGATACGCAGTGGTGGACACTTAAGTCCTCAGGACCCACACTGCGTGCTGCGTGTTAAGTGTCATGTCACTTAATTTTCTAGCAACTCTCCTAAAATAGATACTAATTGCTCATTTGACAGATGTGCACGCAGGCTTACAGAGGCTAAATGACTTGCCCAAGATCGGAAGGCTATAAAGTGGTAGAAAGAACCTGGACTCAGCTCTGAAGGGGTTCAAAACACAGATTCTAAATCTCTGTGCCCTAGCATACATTATTATTACTGTTCACTCTTTTTTTTTTTTTTAACAGAGCATATTTGAAGTATTCTTCTCAGCTAATTTAAAATTTCTGTCTGTTACACAGTGTAGCTTTTGATTCCTTCTCTGCTTAGTTTGGTGCAGATTGCTCATTTTATTCTCCTTTTTTGGAGGGGAGGGAGGTGAGGATTGTCCCTTGGTTTTGAATAGATTCATCTTACTTTGTTCATTAAACTGTAAATCCCTCAGGAAGCAGTGCTAGTAATACAAATGCTGCTAAATAAATGACAACTCTCTGTCTCAAGGGATAAGAGCTACCTGGTCTTCCGGAATGACGCAGTATTCTCTTACGTGATGTTGTTCTCCTGGGTGTACAAATGTTGTTGTCAGTGAGTCAATCCTGGTGAACAACCCCCAATTTTAAATACATTTTTATGGCAGCAGCATATTTGAATAGAGGAAACATCCGAAATGATCCCCAATCTATTTATCACTCTAAATATAAGCAGGTGGAATTTAAAATTTTCATGATTGCATTTTAGTCAAATGTTAGATTCATGATCGTTCTGCCATGCATGAGTTAGTAATGAGCTTGCTGTATAATAAAAGAAAGCCCCAAATGCACCAAATAAGATATATTTGCCTCAGTGCATCAAACAAGATAAATATTTTTTCTTTTTTTAAAAAACGTTATTCATCATTTTTTGTTTGAGAGAGAGAGTGAGTGAGAGAGCGCGAGAGAGCGCGAGTGCAGGGAGGAGCAGAGGAAAAGGGAGAAGCAGACCCCCCGCTAAGCAGAGAGCCTGACCCAGGGCTTGATCTGGGGCTTAATCTGGGGCTCGATCCCGATCCCGGGCTCGATCCCAGGACTCCGAGATCATGACCAAGCTGAAGGCAGATGCTTAACCGACTGAGGCCTCCAGGCACCTATATATATATATAAAATGATAGAAATAAAAAATATATATATTTATATTTTTTCCCCTAACATGAAAGAGGCGTGGAGGTGGGCAGCCAAGGATTGATATGTGGCTCTTGGTCATTGCGTTCTCAGGTTCCTTCTAACTTTTTCTTTGTAAATCTCTGAAAATGGTTTCCATTCTAAAGATTTCCTCATGGTTAGCAAAAGCCCCAATAAAGACATCCATCATGTCAGAGTCTCAGGCAGTGGGATGAGAAGAGGGCAGAGGGCCTTTGTCTGCCTATTTCCTTGTAAAAACCTTTTCCAGGTTGTTTACTAAATGAACTTTCCCTTCCTTGGTCCTTAGCTATACCTACTTATACAGCTGTCCGAATAAAATCAAGGTTTTGTCTTGTTTTTAACTAAGGAAGAAGGGGGAAGAATCAATGATGGGTAGACTGCCTTCCTTCTAATTAGAAAATTCCCACCATTCTAGACCAGGGGTTGGCAAACTATGGCCTATGGGCCAAATCTGGTCTGTAGCCTTTTTTTTTTTTTTTTTTATAAGTAATGAGTTACTGAAACAAAACCATATGCATTCATTTATGTATTGTCTATAGCTGAGTTAATGCTACAACAAGCAGAGCTGAGTCATTGTCACAGAGATCATATGGCCCATAAGTCTAAAATATTTCCTATCTAGTCCTGTTGAAAAAGTTTTCCAATCCCTGTTCTAGATCATGGAGGACAGATTCTGATGAACAAATGGCTTAATTCTTGGGATGTTATTATAGGAACAGGGTTGAGCCCAATATAGATTCAGTAATAATTTATTCTTCTCCAGCCCCAGTGAAATTAAATCTGTTAGGCATACATTCAGTTGCAAGTAACATAAAACCTGACTAATGTCAGTTGTAACAATAGGGAGTTTATTTATCTCACATGCAAAGACGTCCAGAAGTACATGGTCCAGGGTTGGTGTGGATGCTGAATGATGCTTTCAGAACTGGACTCTTGTTTTCTCCCCAACCATGGCCAGAATGTTGGCTTTCATCTCCATGCTTATTGTAAGTTGGCTGCAGCCCCTAAAAGCATTAGGTCTGCATCCTGCCTCGGAAGAAGGGGTAGGTGTCAAAGGCCAAAATGAGTACGAGTCTGTCTCTTTCCAGAACTTTCCCAGAGGTCCTCGTTGGCCAGGACTGTGTTTTCATGACACGTGCTGGCAGCAGAAGATCCCAAGATGGTGAGAATGTACATTGGACACATGACTGGGGCAAACAGATGGAGCAGGAGGCAGGAGCAGTAGGGTAGGAGCAGGGCTCCTCACGTTTAACGGGGCCACTCTAGCCCCTTCTTAGTGTCTCACCTTGCCTGCCTGCCCCTTCCTGTAGCAGTTCCTGAAATTGATTCTGTTCTTTTTCCCTCCCTTTCATATTTCTGGCTAGGTGAGAAACCTGGCAGTGAGCCTGAAGAGGTGAAGCTGCAGAAAGCCAGCAAACAGATTGTGCGGAATGCCATCCTGCAAGCTGTACAGCAAGTCTCCCAGGAGAGCCGGCAGAAGGGGGAGAGCGCCCGAGACAGCCAGGGCAGCCTCCAGCTGGGCGTCGGGGAATTAACCAAGAAGCATGAAAAGAAGTAACAACAGTAGATTTGGCTCTTGTCACCTGCTTGGTTTCCAGCCTTCCTCTTAGTATAGGATGCGTAGCCAAAATGTTGCCAGTAAAGCAAACTGGCACCTAGCAGTAGAATGAATTCACACTAGCCCTTGGCTGAGATGCACTGTTTTGAAAAAGTGTGTTAGACAATTCTGTTCCTATTAATGCAGCGCCTCCGAAACAGAGTGGGGCCAAACAGGACACTGTAATTGCAAAAGTAGTTTTGCAGCACCGTTTCTTTTTTAAGGTTCTTTCTTCCCCTAAAGATTCTGTCTTGTTTATTTACTTTTGCTTTTTTACACACCTTTCTGTGAGTTTAACCAGCAATCCTTTTTACTGAGTGCGGTACCGTGTTCTTTATAATATTTTAAAAAGACACGCCAGGGCACCTGGGTGGCTCAGTCGTTAAGCATCTGCCTTCGGCTCAGGTCGTGATTCCAGGGTCCTGGGATCAAGCCCCACGTCGAGCCCCACGTCGGGCTCCCTGCTCAGCGGGAAGCCTGCTTCTCCTTCTCCCACTCCCCCTGCTTGTGTTCCTGCTCTCGCTGTCTCTCTCTGTCAAATAAATTTAAAAAAATTTATAAAAAAAAAGACACACCAGAAAGGTGAAGGAATGGAGTTTGTCAACTTCAAATATGGAATTGAAGGCTTCGCTGGGTTCAGGTCCAAGATCAAATTGAGCAAAGGCAAGTTCTAAGACTCAGTTCCTTAGGATCTTACAAGGCATATATTTATATTAATTTTTAAAAAGGAAGAGTTTAACTTTTTAAGAACTCAGTTTTTTTGGTCTCAGTTCTCTCCATGGTTTGATAGCTGGCTTTACTCTCTGTGCAGAAATCCTTCAGAAATAGGCATTTCTTTTTCCATCTCAAATTAAAGTGAGAGATCTATATGCGTGAGTCACCAATGAGTCTGTTTTTAGCAGTCCCATGAAGAGCAACTAGAACCATAGATTCCATGCTGGGGATATGCTAGGGTCTGAGTATGGGGTGCAGTGTCCGTGGGAGGAGCTGTGGGGCTTTACAAATACCATGTTGTCATCAGGCTATGTCTTCGCACTAGTACCTTACTAATAGGAACTTTCTTTTCCCATCCACAACTTAAAATTATATTTTTGAGATTTTGAAAATCACACCTATCAGGAATAAATAACACTGAAAATGGGAAAACCATTTTTTTTAACTCTCCAAAGCATGAAAATAGAGTGGGAACAATAAAGTAACAGTGTTTTGAACAATGCAGTTATGGGGGCATATGTGCATATTAAAAAAGCCATCATTATTGCAGTAGTGTGGCTTCTGCTCCACTCCCATGTTGATAATGCACATCTTTCTAGAGTCATTAGAATCCCATAGTCTGGTTTCATAACAGTCATTCAGTTGCTGCTACTGAAAACGAAAGAATTTGGCCTTTAGTAAAAATGCTTTGGCTTCAAAATATCAATGTCTACGTTTGATAGTTTTTTTTAGAAGCCAGTATCAGCATATATGGTATGATGGATATTAAGATATACTTCTAGAATTCCAGTATGTTACACTTCCCAGAATGGATACTACTGATTATGGTAGATAAATGAAAACACTCTCTTAGCAGCTTTGTTAGATTGTCACATGAGGCACAGCTGGAATAAATTCACAGAAGAATGGCTATGAGAGGGGCAGAGGGAGTTAAAATTTAAATGTGATTTATTTATAAATATTTTTTAGCAGAACTCATGACCATTGAAGAATGAGTTGAAGTTGATCAGAAGTCATATAATGGATATGATGTGATTGCACAGTATGCAGATAATGGGAATGAAAGTATTAAGGGAAATTATTCAGAAGGATCTACTATAAATATAAACCCAATGCTTATAGTTTGCAAGTGATCTAGCACCATGTGTATTAAGATGTCTGGTTATAACCAGTCCTGGACCTTGCTGTCATATCATGTGGCGGAAATACATAAATGCACTATCTTTCTTCTCTGGTGTGTCTGTGCTAATTCACTGGGGATCTTTGAGAACATCGGATTAACTTCTGTATCTAAACATTATTTGTAAATAAAATATATCCAGCTTTGAAATATGTTGTCATTATAAGGCAAGTTTTCTATACCCTACTGTTTGGCTCATTTCATACATGTATCTTACATTCATTTGGCACCATGAGGCACCCCAAGTTTTCCAAACCCCTGTATATCATGATCCTGAGAGTGCTTCTTCCCTGGGCCTTTACTGCAAGTCTGTGGAATGGTGGTTCCTGAGGTTTGAGCAGGAAAGGACGTGTGCTAAGAAGTGGCCTTTGGATCTCAGGAAGTAGAGATGAGTGAATCTGGAATGCTGTGTCTTTCATGATCTTTCTGTGTCACAACATCTACAGCAAGGACCAGAGAGATTGAGAAATTCTTGGAGGAAGAAAAGAAAGTCGAGCAACCCCTGCACTCAGTAGGTTGGTGCCATATTGGCAGAATCCTAAGTAAGCTCAGCCGTAAAAATAAATCCATCTGTTAAAGTCTTGCTGATCTCTTTCAGTATAAAGTAATTGGCCTTGAAAGGGGCTTATCCAGCTTCATGTGGCATAGGATTAAGGTGGGCTACCACTTGGCTGTTATCATAAACCAGCACACAGCTTTTGGTTTTAGGAATTCATAGGAATATTTATGTAATGTCTTTTATCTTCTCGATTTACTACATGGTGAAGCATACATGGGCCTCCCAGCTCTGTGTGCTCAGCTTCTCATCTTTTACTTTGCCTGGCTCTGGAGTAGACCGAAGAGAGAAATCCTTTTATGTTACTTTGCTTTTCTGTAATAATCTATCCAGTGTGAACAGTATTGTAAGTAGATACAAAACTGATGGCCTTCTGGGCTTCATCTCCCCACCACCCCCAACTCTCTTTTTTAGCTGCGTCATCGTCCCTTATGGTGGGATTTCAGGTTACAAAAAAAAAAAAAAAAAGAATGAACCATTTAAAAAGAACCATGTTATTTATGCCAGTCCAGAATGAATAACAATTTTCAAGGTTTTAAGGGCTTATAAAAAAATGTAGAAAAGGGAATTTTCAACTTATTCACTGTAATGGCTATTCCAATAAGATACAATAGAGAATAAAATCTCTGAGAAATATGGTAACTTAAATTTAGCCCCTATAGTACCCAAACAGGTGAAAAAGACTAAACACATGAGCAAAGTCTTTTTAGTTCATGTAAGGTGAATATGGAAACCACAATAACAACATAGATTCTCTTGAATGTGAGAAAGTTTTCTGAAATATATTACTACGCATTAACTCATTTTTCTCATTGTCACAACCTCACAATATGTTGCATCTGGGAAGATCTTATTCTCCTTTTGCAGATAAAGTCACAATGAGTCTCAGAGAGGGTAAGTATATCCTAAGTAATGAACAGCAAGTATTATCTGGCACAGGAACACTTGAATCACTGATCGTAAACTTTGAGAGCATGTGTATCAGCTAAGGGAGCTTAAGAAATATAACTTCTGGGGATATTTATGTTAAGATGGAAGAATAAAACTGCCTTCTAGTAAGAAATGTCACAAAAATAGTAAAGGTTCAGAAAAATCATCATCAATAGAAATAGTTCAATGCCATTAATGTCAAAAAGTGGTAGCTAAGGAAGGAAAAGGAAACCACAGAGGGAACAAAATAGAAGGTCACGACAGAGCATGACAAGTTCTCTTATCTTTCCTTCTCAGAACCACATGCGAAGTCCGTGGAATCCTGATCCAGGTGTGGAGCAAGATGAATGCAGTGGGTGATGTTATTGTTTGTCTGTCGACTATAGTGTAGTGGAAATGGCTCAAAGGAAGAAATAGGCAAAATTGGAGAAGGTGCTCCTCCCACATAGAAGTGACAACCTTATCTTACAGAAATGAAGAAAGAAAAAGATAAATGCATATTAAAAAATCCCCTCATGGTGTTCTAGAAAATGGATACAAAATATTCAATACCAGTACTTCTTTTTCTTTCCCTTTATTTATTTATTTATTTATTTATTTATTTATTTATTTATTTATTTATTTTGATGTACTGTTCCATGATTCATTGTCCCAGTGCTCCATTCAATACGAGCCCTCTTTAATATACCCATCACCAGGCTAACCCATCCCCCCCCCCCCCTCCCCTCTAGAACCCTCAGTTTGTTTCTCGGAGTCCATAGTCTCTCATGGTTTGTATATCCCCTTCCGATTCCCCCCCCTTCATTTTTCCCTTCCTACTATCTTCTTCTTCTTTTTTAACATATAATGTATCGTTTGTTTCAGGGATACAGGTCTGTGATTCATCAGTCTTATACAATTCACAATGCTCACCATAGCACAAACCCTCCCCAATACCAGTACTTCTAGAATAAGAGAAAAATCCTAGAAATTTCTAGGCTGAGAGCAAGCCATTTACCAAGGTAAAAACTTTAGGCTGGCATCAGACTACTTCATAACAACATTCAATACTCTATCATAAGGGAGAAAAGGCTACAAAGTAGCTCTGAAAAGGAAAGTATGAAGTAAGCTTGTTATTCCCAGCTAACATGTCACTGGAGAATAAAGGCAAGGAAAAAAAAAAAAGGAAAGAAAGAAAGAAAGAAGGAAAGAAGGAAAAAAAATCTTAAGAGTTATTGGTTCTCAAGGGCCCTCCTTGAAAAAACTGCTTAGCCATGAACTTCAGCCAACTAAAAGATAAATCAAAATAGTCTAGGGGCGCCTGGGTGGCGCAGTTAAGTGTCTGATTCTTGATTTCGGCTTACGTCCTGATCTCAGGGTCATGGGTTCGAGCCCCTCTTCAGGCTTCCCACTCAGTGTGGAGTCTGCTTAAGATTTTCTCCCTCTCCCTCTGCCTCTCCCCCTGCTATCTAAAATAAATAAATAAATCTTTATGGGGCACCTGGGTGGCTCAGTCCTTAAGCATCTGCCTTCGCTCAGGTCATGATCCCAGGGTCCTGGGATTGAGCCCCGCATCGGGCTCACTGCTCCGCAGGAAGCCTG